GGTGGCGGAGGTCCTGAGGCCGAAGTGGCGGGGGGGGGGGGGGGGGGGGGGGGGGGGGGGGGGGGGGGGGGGGGGGGGGGGGGGGGGGAATGCCGAAGGAGCGAGGCCGGGTGCCGTGGGCTCAGTGCTGGTGGGCCCCCGAGCCGCTGGAGGCGGGCCATTGCTCGGTTCCGGTTTTGGACTTCACATCCCAGCCATGTTCCAGGTCGGTCGTCCGGCCATGCGGCCCGGAGGTTAGCCTCAGCACATTGGCCAAAGTCGGCTCAGACACTTGGATGGGCGGGTGTACCTTTTGTCCCGGCGACCGGGCCAGGGTGGCGTGCCGACCGGCGTTCAAAGGGCCGACGTGGTCCCCCGGGCGGATGTCGTGCGATCGCGAAGTCTTCACCTTCCGCGTCACCCGCTGTCGTACCTTCTTCCGACAGGTCACCTGGGCTCCATCCTTGATCTCCTCGTGAGATGAGGAGGTCAAGTCGGTGATGGATTCAATGACAGTGCCCGTGGTCGACCGGCCGAGGGCGATGGGCTTGGGCGCGAGGATCCAAGCGGCGCGCGTGCTATCGCCCGCCCCGGCGGGCCGCTGAGGCACCTTCACAGAGGATGGGTGTGTGGGGCGAGCCTGCGGGGGGTGGTGCTGCACGCTCTTGAGGGAGCCTGCAGCGCGGCCAGCCGTGTCATTGGATGGTGCCCCATAGGGTGGCCGGCGGTCCAGCATGATGCCCCTTGCGGGCATGGCAGGGCACAGCATTCGACCATGGGCCGGGGGGGGCCGCATGGAGTGGACCCCCTCCGGCTGAGCAGGCCGCCGCGGGCCAGGAGCCGGTTTCCGGGTCTTGCCCGGCTGCTGGTGCTGCGAGCGATTCTTGCCAGCCCGTTGGGCATGGGCAGCCGAAAGCATCCTTGGGGATCTGTCGTCGTCGTCGTCGTCGCCGGGCGTGCCCATCAACGCCGGCCGAGCAGGGTGTCGCGGCGCCGCCGAAGTAGCCAATCGCGCGCCGACGAAGGGGTCATTTGCCCACAAGGTGCGCAGCCATTCGGCCTCGTCCGCTGTCCGGCCACGGCGCAATCGGGTGTCATCCAAGTTGTTCATCAGAGTCACGACCTGGTGATCGTGCCGAGTGAGCAGCAGGAAATCAACCTCCCGGATCATGTAAAAGGTCCTTTCTGCCACTTGCACACCTCCTTGGGCGAAGGAGGCCAGGTGCCGCGCGGCGGCCTCGTGAGAGAACGCCAGCATGGCCGAGTCCCGGATCCAGAGCGCAGCATCCAGCAAGTCACCCATGGTTCTGCAGAGGGCCGAGGCGTAGTTCAACAGGTGCTGGAAGATGAGCTGATGACAAATGCGATCCAGCCCCTCGGAAAGGGTATTGTGGAGGAGCATAATCGTCCCTGGGCTGAGGGTGACATACTGGGTATGGCCCAGTACATGGCTCAGACGAATCAAGGTTGGACGCAGATGCCCCGAGCTCGAGAGGGCGTCCTGGACAACGTACTTGGCCAGGAAGGCGCGGACGATCGGGTCCGACACCGTCCGGGCAGGCAGCCGTGGGTCCGGACATGGGTCCCTCTCTTGGGCATTCGGCGGCCCGTTGTTGAGTGTTGCCAGGGCCTCCAGGAGCAAGTACGTGCCCGCCGGGGCGGCCTTCTCGACCGCTCCAAATGCCCGTGACTTCGCCCGCAAGCCCTGCTGGAACACCATCGACCTCAGGTTGATGTGGTCGCCGATGGTCGGCACCGTGGAATGTGGATCCAAAGCGTCGATCCCGGGCTCCATCTCCATGACATAGTCCAGGACCGAGGGATCAATCGAGGTGGGAAGAGTGTGGCCTGCCAGGCGGGCCATGATGGCGAAGCCGATGTCCCTTCCGTAGGTGGAGTCCATCCTGCGGGCTCGCTCCATGCGCAGACGGCCATCCTCCAGGGCGTCCTCCAGGAAGATGCGTAGGTGGGCCTTCTGCTCGGCCGAAGCGATATGCTCGATGACCGTGTGGCTGGTCAGCTTACGGGTGAGCAGGAAGGCCAGCGGGATGTCTCGCAGGTGTTCGGGAAAGGGTATTCCGGAGCTGGTGGTTCGGGCCATCCACTGGGCCCCAGGCGAGTACTTGAGGATCTGCTCGTAGGACAGGGAGATGCTCTCAGCAAGCACCCCGTCTTCTTGGTGTAGACCGGCGACGAAATAGAGGAAGAGCCGATGTCGCGTCTCGTCCAACCAGGCGGGATCCTCAATGAGGTCCTGGCCGATCGGCAGTTGGGGCGACCAACTGCACAGAATGACCCGGACTAGCAGTTGAAGGGCGCTCTGGATCGAGGGATGGGGCAAGCGAACAATGAAAAGCGGAGTGGCCACACCTGCAAGCGAGAAGAGCCGATCCCACTTGGGCTTCGTGGATGGCAGAGCGGGCCCGTACTTGGGGAAGTCCGGGCCAAGGCCCCCGATCGAGGACATGGTGGCCTGGGGATGTGTGGGACCATGCACGGTCGACGACGATGGCGACAGTGAGAGGGAGTGTCCGCGGGGATGATCCGAGAGGGCCAGGCGCCTGGGCTGGGTGGATGTTTCGCGGACTTCGGGGAGAGAGAGAGAGAGAGAGAGAGACGGCGGGGGTGGGGATCGGCGGGAAGCGTGATTTGAAGAAACAGGCAATCGTGCAAAGTGGGAGGTCCCCCCAAAGTGTCTGTCGTAGCTCTTACGTGCGGATCGCAAGGTTGGGCCAATCGTATCAGGGCCATGTTCCGGGACACGCATGCCAGAATGCAAATTTCGGATGCGCCCCGGTCGTGCGTGCGGTGCATCGGGTTCCGGACAGGGCTTGCCATAGTGGCCGGCGGTGTCATGTGCCCGTGCTGGATATCAGCGGATCGAGCAGAATCCCCGTGCTGGATGGCTTGTTGTGGGGAATGCGGCCGGCTGCCTGGCGGGAGGAATGTGCGGGTGCTCAAAAAGAACCATCTACCCACAAGGGAGCGCACGGGCCGCCGATGGATGGCAATACTCCAGAATCGAGTCCAGTCACGTGTGGTAGTTATGAATTTGTAACAACGCATCCGAGGGGCCACGCCGTCTCCATGAGCTTGGTCTTCTTGCGGGAGGGAGGTCGTACTGGTGTTATGGCGAAGGGGCCAAGTGGCGAGTCTCCCCCCCCCCCCCGGCCGGATCATCTCCCCGGCGTATCCTGTGTCAACATGCGTGTATGAGCGGGGGGCGGGGGTGTGTGTCTGAGTGCGGGAGTATTACTAGCGTTCACGTTGGAAAAGGTATGTTCGCATCGCGTGGTTCAGGGGCGGGTCTCGACCTCGGAGCCGAGGCACTCCTAACCATAACCGGTGGTTCCTAAACACCCCGGGCGGGGTGCGATTTCCCGGCCGGTAACGATGTGCGGCTCCGCCGGCCGGCCAGCACCCGTGCCCCTGGCGCGGGGCCCTCCCTCGGTGGGAGGGGGGTGGGGGGGGGGGGGGATCACATCCCCGACTGCATGCGCGAGTGAGAGATCTGACGGCGAGCAGGGCCGAGGCCGATAATTTCCGAGTGAAATCGCGTCGCCCAGGTCCCGGGACCTCTCGCCCCTGGGCAGCCTCTCCGACAACCTCCCCTCCCTTGTTCCTCCTCGTCCACCTCCGCTGCCTGGGCCTTTCCCGTCGCCAGCCTCTTCTGCCGCTGGCCACTCGCCCGCCCGCCCGCCCGCCCGCCCGCCCGCCCGCCCGCCCGCCCGCTCGGTTGCCCCCCTCTTCCAGGCATGCATGGGGGCCAGTTGGGCGGCCTGCGCCTGGCGCTGGCCCTGCTGCTGGTCGGGCTTGCCATGGCCCGGGCTCAACAAGACATCCAACTGGTGGCGGTGCCGCGGCCCATGGCATCCACAGTCGGAGGCCTGCCAGTCCCCCCTTCCACGGAGATCCTGCCCACGGTTTTGGGAACCCCGGAACTCGATCTCGTCTGTCCCCTGGTCGACGGACGCCTTGGCCTGTGGAAGCAGTCCAACACCTCTTCCCATTATGAAGACTCGCGCATTGGGGGGTTTTTCAACCTGGCAGCCGGCCCAGTGCACTCCTTCGGGCCTGCGACTTTTCCGTCATTCGAAAAGCGCTTCCTCGTCCGCGGTCCCGGCAGCACCCCGGCCATCGTGTTGCAAACGGACATCGACTACAGGGTCTATGTGGGCCAGCAGGAAACCGCCATCCCTCGATCGTCAGCGGGCGAGCTGCTCGCGGTTCAGTCTACCGCCCCGAATGGCCACATTTACCTCCTGATGCACACCCCGAGCGAGCACCTCTCCGTCACCCGGGTCAACCTCCCCTACGTCAACCCGCTGGATATCGGCTTCTTCGGGTCGCTGGACCAGCCGATCTCGGCGGACTCCGCCGACATCGGGCTTTTTGCCCTTTCCGATGGTTCCCGCGTGACTCTGATCAACGGCGAGTTTGGCTTCAAGACGTCAAACCACTTCTCCGAACCCATCCTGCACATGGCTCTGCTCAGTTTCACCGGCCCGCGCGATATCGTCCTTCTCTTTAGTCAGGCGCTCCGCTACACGACGGTGTCCGAAACCAATGAATTCGGCGTCTGGGGGACAGTGTCGCTGCCGGCCGGCCTGACCAACCCCAAGCGCCTGCTGGGCCTGGAGGTGACCGCGTCCTTCAGCATCCCGGGGTTTGTCCTGGTTGAGGGGGATACCCCCGGTGAGATCTGGCGCCATCGCGCCTGGGGCGGTGCCACGTGGGAGCGTCTTGTGCTGCCATTTGCGCCAGCCGGTCCGCCTCCCCTCGGCACCCTGTCCCTGGGGATGGTATTGCTCACTTCGGGGCGCGGCGTCCTGAGCCTCTTTTCCGGAAGCCAGGCCTTCCTGGAGCCGGTCGACTTCGATTGCACCGCCGATACGTCCATCGCCTGCCACCCAGCCGGCAACCAAGTCCATGGCGGGTGGTCCTGCCGTGCCAATCATGTTCTCTCGCCCTTCCTCCGGAACAAGGGCCTGTGTGCCGGCTGTGAAAGTGGCTTCTTCCCGACATCCACTTTGGGCATCCGTGCGTCGTCCCTCTTCATGGCGCCTTGTTGGCCGCTCCGATGGTAACCCTGCGCCCATTTTCCGCTTTCCCGTCCTCCGTGTTCCCCCCCCCCCCCCCCCCCTTGCCCGGCTCCAGCCACTTGCCAGGCCTGTCATTCGGCCATGTGCAGCGCCTGCCTCCCGACGGGGCGCTGCCTGATCTGCTCGTCGCCCTTGCTCCTGGAGGAGTACTCAAACCCCGGGATCATGCCGACCTGTGTCTTTTCATGCTCCGCCGGTCGCGTTCCCGTGGGCGGCCGGTGCCTGCCCCCCGCCGGCCCGTCTCCGGTCTTGGATGTGGCCGAGGAGACCATCGTTCCCATCCTCTCGACCGGCCCTTTCTCCGCGCTGATGGCCACCAACATGGGCTCCGGGGGGGTATCCGGCTTCCAGGGGTTCCCCGGGCCTCCCACGGAGGCCGGTCGTCTCCCGCCAGCACCTCGAGTACTGGGCTTTCGTTCGGGCGAAATGCCGATCCTGTTGGATGCTCGTGATCTTGGTCGCAATGCCGGCCCGGTCGCCGGGGAGGTCATCGGCTCGGAAGCCGGCCTGGACATGCCCCAGATGGGGGATGTCGTGTCGGCGGTGCAGCTCGGGCCCTTTGTCGCTAGGGAAAGCATTTCCTACCAAATTCTCACCTGCAGCAGTGCCGGCACAACGAGGCTGCTGGCGGGATCGTGTAACGCGGTCCAGGGGAATGTGGAGGCCGGCTGCAAGCTTTTCTTCGGGAACCACCTCCTGGCAATGACTTGCAAGCATGTGCGACTCATCCGGTGGAATATGGCCAGTGTGTCCGGACCGGATGGGACCTTCCTGGTGGAGTTCACCATGCCACGGACCGCCCCGGTCCCGGTGCTCCTGCCGGAAACCTCCGGCCACCCGGCCCTGGGCCTGGTGGAGGTTCCCCATTATCCGGGCCTGCCGGAGTGGCTGTTCTTTGCCACCCCCGGCCGGGCTGGCAACTCGGCCTCCCTGCTGCCATCGATCCTGGTGCAGAGGGGCGATGGGCGTGCCATTGCATCCTTGGGCATGGCATTCCCTGCGCTGCCCCCTGGCACCTGGCATCCCATGGTCCTGGACCGGGGCGGCACCCCGGGGCCGGGATCTCAGGAATTCCTGCTGACCGGGCTCCACCCCGACACCGGGGCCTGGCGTGCGATCGTGGCTCCTGGCGGGCCGGCGCTCCAAATGCGCAGCGCCGCCATCTCCACCCTCCCCCTGATGGAGCTGGGCATCATCATCCCCGGGCCGGTGGAGAACTACTCCCTGGCGGCCGTGCGGCTGCCCGGCGCCGGAGACCGCTTCCCCAGCGCGTTGGTTCTCCTGACAACGGACTTCCTCGCGGTGGCCTTGCTCCAGTGCAATGGTCCGCTGGCCAGCGAAGAGCGCCGGTGCCAGCTGGAGCGTGCCACTGCCCTGGGGCTTCCCCTGCCGCTGGTGAATCCCCCCCGTGCGTCGGTCATTTCCCTGACCTCCCATCCGCCGGGCCCCGGGGAATTGGCCAAGATCCTGGTTGCCGAGGGAACGGCCCGGCCCATGACCGTGACCATTGGCGCTGGCTCCTGTCCTGACGGCACCTTATGGCCGGATTGCGGTCCCTGCCACCCGAAGTGCCGAACATGCTTCGTGACTGCCACCGATTGCGGTGTGTGTCAGCATGCACTTCCACAATCGCCGGATGTCTGTCTGGCCAGCTGCCCGGCTGGACTTTATGCCCGGGACCCGGATGATCCACTGTGCCACTGTCATGTTGATTGCGTGGCCTGCCAGGAGAGCAGCGTGGCGGGCCACTTTGAATGCACCTCCTGCCCGCCGGGCATGGCTCTGCCGGCCAGTCCGGCCGACAGCCCGCCCGACCGATGCTTCAGCTGCCATGAGGACTGTGGCGAGTGTCTGGCCCCGGGGGATCCAACCTCCTGCACCGCCTGCCGGGGTGGCGCCTTTCTGGTGCACGGAGCCGGCACATGTGTGACTGTGTGTCCGGCGGGCATGTGGCCTGACACCGCGGCTCGGGTTTGTCGGCCTTGTCCGGCTGGCTGCGCGGCCTGCACCGCTGCCGATGCCTGCACCGCCTGTGCCGACAAGTACTTCCTGGGCGCCGACGACATGTGTCACCCGTGTGACGCCTCCTGTGCGCTGTGCTCCGATCCCGGGTCTTGCGATGCCTGCGTGCCGGGTTGGGCTTTCCTCTCTCCGAACGCCGGGGTGCCCTCCCTCTGTGGGCTGGCCTGCCTGCCTGGGCAGTATGTCGACACCGGTGCCGGCCGCTGTGCCACATGCTCAAGCACATGTAGCCTGTGCACCGGGTCGGCCGCCATGTGCGTCGGTTGCTCCGGTGCACACTTCGGCATCGGCGGGGACCCCTCCCTGGCTCAGCCCCGCGAGTGTGCCCCCTGTGCCAGGGACTGTGCTCTGTGCTCCAATGCCGAAGTGTGCACCACTTGCATGTCGGGCTTCTTCCGGCACCAGGGCCAGTGCCTTGCCTCCTGCCCCGAGGGGACGTGGGCCAACTCGAGCACGTCCCAGTGCCAGGCCTGCCCCGCTGGCTGCACCGGCTGCACCGATGCCACGGCCTGCACCGCCTGTGCCGGTGGGCACTTCCTGAGCCCGGAAACGCGCCTCTGCCGACGGTGTGATGGCACATGCGAGCGGTGCTCTTCGGCCTCCGCCTGCCTGGCATGCCAGCCGGGGATGCACTTCCTGTCGCCCAAGCCCGAGGTGGAATCCCTCTGCGGGACAACCTGCGCGCCGGGCGAATACGTCGGGGCCGGGCGATGCGGCCAGTGCGATCAATCTTGCGCTCTCTGTGTCAATGGCCCGGAGGCGTGCTCCGTGTGCGCCCCGGGCTTCCGGTGGGATGGGCCATCGCCGGCGGCCGGCGCCACCGGTCGCTGCGTCCAATGCCCGGATCATTGTGACTCCTGCACACAGCTGGACTTCTGCCTCTCCTGCGAGGGGGGCTTTTTCCTGACCCACCAGGGTGCCTGTCTGTCCGGCTGTCCGGCGGGCTCCTTCAATGACGTGGCTTCCGACACCTGCCAGCCATGCGACCCGATGTGTGCCACATGTGCAGGCCCGAGCAGCGCCGAATGCACAGACGTGTGCTCTTCCGATCTATGCCCGGATCATTGTGACTCCTGCACACAGCTGGACTTCTGCCTCTCCTGCGAGGGGGGCTTTTTCCTGACCCACCAGGGTGCCTGTCTGTCCGGCTGTCCGGCGGGCTCCTTCAATGACGTGGCTTCCGACACCTGCCAGCCATGCGACCCGATGTGTGCCACATGTGCAGGCCCGAGCAGCGCCGAATGCATCGCCTGTGCTCCGGGCACCGAGGCCGGGCCCGGGCTTTCGGGCCTGGTCGCCTGCCAGCCCAGCTGCCCCGAGAGCCAGTACTTGGACCCTGTGACGGGGGTGTGCACGGCGTGCGATGGCTCCTGTGCCACATGCAATGGTCCGAGCGATCGGGACTGCTGGCGCTGTGCGGACGCCAGCGAGGTGGTACAGGATGGCCGGTGTCGGCAGGAATGTGCCGATGGCTTTGTCCCGGCGGCTGGTCGGTGCCTGCCCTGCCACCCGTCGTGCGACCAATGTGTCGGGACCCGGCGCACCGACTGCATTCCCGCCTTT